AAAGGTCCGGGGGGGGGGGGCACTCCCATACATTACCTATATGGGTATGTGCCGCCAAACGGGGTCGTGATTTTGAAGCTCCTGATTTAGAACAGGGTATCCATTTCAGAGGCGTTTTCTAGAACGGGGTATAAAAAATTGTGGATCAAGGCTTTATCTTCTGCTTAAAATTGTTGCTAATTATGAAGAAGCATTTATTTGATGTATAATTCGAACAAATAAAGAAATACTGTATATTAAAAAAAAAACAGGGCTATTTCAATTTACAAACTTTCTAGAATGGAGTTTAAAAAATTGGCCCATTTCTAGAACGGGGTATCAATTTGCGGGGAAATTTTTTTTAGAACGGGGTGCCAATTTGGAGTCCCGGGCGGCACATAACCACCCAAAAAATATCCAAGTGCCCCCCCCCCGGGGTAAAAATACCCCAGTTTAAGAGTCTGCTGACGCGTAAACAAGCATGGTGACCCCATCTTTTTATTGCATTTTTTTAATGTTCATATCATGAATGTTGGTTATGCCAAGTTTCAATTTCAAGGGAATTACCTTAACTTACCTACTACTTTTAAACCAAAGAAATGAAATGCCAGAAAAGATATGGTCCTGGCTCAGGTTGGTCAAACATTGGTTAGTGCTATCCACCAGATAAATCACTATCCAGTGGATACATTGTAAGTATTGCAAAAACCAATGGTGTTATCCTTTGGATAGTGATTTATCCAACTGGGTCCAAGAGCATATGTTAAAATATCAAGTTTTGTGGGCAGATTGTGAAGAGGACAAGCCAATAGCCTAGTTGCACTTGGGGGAGATAAAAGAACAAGAAAAAAGATGTTGCCACTATTGCAACCTGAACCTAAGCATTTTAATGGGCATTTTACACCCAGGATGGAAACGAGGCTGTGGATAAAACTTTATCATACATTTGATAAACATCCATCAAATCTTCACTATTATCAGCATGTGTTGAGAATTTAGCCCTTTCCTGGAAAGATAGCCAGCCACAATTCCATGGGAAAGAAACATGATAATGTGGGTGATAAAACTGGATATAAAAAAGAAAGGCCAAGGAAATAGGTGGATGGTTTGTCTTTTTTTTGGTCTTCTCACTTTTTCAGTGCATCTAGCCCTCCTAGCATGCAGGCTCTTTTGTAATGTGCTATCTGGGGTCAATGTAATAAAACTTTCACAAGTGTAATTTACAAGTGTAGCTATTGTTTTTGGACCCTAAAACAATGGCTACACTTGTAGTTAAATTGAACCCAGGTACTTTTTTTTTCGGTAAAAGGAGAAAAAAGAACAGCTGACACATTTACTTCATGAGTTGTCTGCTGCTCTCTAATTAAGGCATCTGTCATCATTTGTCTTGTTGTGTCAGATTTTACAGCAAATTCAAGCGATTTGCACCAAAGGCAGCTTATGTATTTACTTGCTCTCCAGGCAAATGGTGAATGCCAAGTTGATACAGTAGTCGTTAACAAAAACATCACAGCTTTTAAAGACCGATTTAGCACTACTGTTAGTGCAAATCTTGCGTTATCCTTAGCCTGCGTGGCAGGCGCAAAAAGGGGAGGGGGAGGGGGGAGGGAGAAAGGGAAAAGGGAAGGGAGTGCCTGCTCTAAGAGCCTATGTTTTTGCATAACGCCTACCAATTTTCTAGTAATCTGATTACGCTTACTGTCAATCAAGTGTCGCTACACTCGCCATTGCAGAAAACATTACACTCACGGACTAAAGAAATTCGCTTAGTTATTCAGATCCAGAAGGCACTTTGGAGAAAATTGGAACCCTTATTCAGCCGTAATAAAAAAAGCTTTACACTTCAAAAGAGGTCAAAGAAATTGCGCTTGCATCAGAGGGCAAATCCTGCCGACCAGAAAACAATAACTACAGTCGATCAATATGTATGTCATGACCTCTCAGTGTGAAACATGCGGCTAAAATAACATTTGCTCAGTATAAATGCAGAACCTTCCAGAGCATAATCTACCCAGCAGATAAAAACAACTTTATTGGAATAAGCAGCATTTTTATAGTCTTTTCTTCAAGTTCCTTTGTCAAGGATTATTGTGCAAAAGCAAAAAAATCGAACCCTAGCACACTGGAATTAAAGAGAATGCCGGCGCTACAAAATAGTCCAAAATAAAGATTCATACCTCCAGAATGTCATCAAATCTTGACTTACCTCATTCCTTGGTATTTAATGTATTCTTTTCAAGTTTGAATTTCTGTGTTGGCGATATCAAACACAAAAAAACAACTGAAAACGAGCTTGATCTCGAGTACATACTTTGAACACCATGGGCTTTATTTTTTGCATCTCGCCCCAGTCCCCTCACGCAAATTATCTATCCTGACTGCGATCTCAAAGCCATGTCCACCTTTCACAGCAATTTGCGAAGAAACAAGCATGGTGACCCCCAATTTTTTTCCCAGGTATTTGCAGAGAACAGTCTAATAAAGAACATATTTGAAGAAGAAAAAAAGTTTGATAGTAAGACATTACCTTTTGGGGGGAAATAGTTTCGTATTTGGTGTATTTGGGTCAATGCGAGGACTTCAAGCTAACCACGGAACTGTTCGAAAAGTGCAATATCCCCACAACGGGCAATCAAAAACGAATTAAGTGAAGTAATACTGCTTATTTGAATAAAAGAAGCTTTATGTTCAAGATAAAATTTTGTGTGTTTCAAGTAACAACGGCTTTATTCTGTAAGAAGGGGATTCGAATTTTTAACGCGCAACCAGAAATCCGGGGGGGGGGGCACTCCCATACATTACCTATATGGGTATGTGCCGCCAAACGGGGTCGTGATTTTGAAGCTCCTGATTTAGAACAGGGTATCCATTTCAGAGGCGTTTTCTAGAACGGGGTATAAAAAATTGTGGATCAAGGCTTTATCTTCTGCTTAAAATTGTTGCTAATTATGAAGAAGCATTTATTTGATGTATAATTCGAACAAATAAAGAAATACTGTATATTAAAAAAAAAACAGGGCTATTTCAATTTACAAACTTTCTAGAATGGAGTTTAAAAAATTGGCCCATTTCTAGAACGGGGTATCAATTTGCGGGGAAATTTTTTTTAGAACGGGGTGCCAATTTGGAGTCCCGGGCGGCACATAACCACCCAAAAAATATCCAAGTGCCCCCCCCCCCGGGGTAAAAATACCCCAGTTTAAGAGTCTGCTGACGCGTAAACAAGCATGGTGACCCCATCTTTTTATTGCATTTTTTTAATGTTCATATCATGAATGTTGGTTATGCCAAGTTTCAATTTCAAGGGAATTACCTTAACTTACCTACTACTTTTAAACCAAAGAAATGAAATGCCAGAAAAGATATGGTCCTGGCTCAGGTTGGTCAAACATTGGTTAGTGCTATCCACCAGATAAATCACTATCCAGTGGATACATTGTAAGTATTGCAAAAACCAATGGTGTTATCCTTTGGATAGTGATTTATCCAACTGGGTCCAAGAGCATATGTTAAAATATCAAGTTTTGTGGGCAGATTGTGAAGAGGACAAGCCAATAGCCTAGTTGCACTTGGGGGAGATAAAAGAACAAGAAAAAAGATGTTGCCACTATTGCAACCTGAACCTAAGCATTTTAATGGGCATTTTACACCCAGGATGGAAACGAGGCTGTGGATAAAACTTTATCATACATTTGATAAACATCCATCAAATCTTCACTATTATCAGCATGTGTTGAGAATTTAGCCCTTTCCTGGAAAGATAGCCAGCCACAATTCCATGGGAAAGAAACATGATAATGTGGGTGATAAAACTGGATATAAAAAAGAAAGGCCAAGGAAATAGGTGGATGGTTTGTCTTTTTTTTGGTCTTCTCACTTTTTCAGTGCATCTAGCCCTCCTAGCATGCAGGCTCTTTTGTAATGTGCTATCTGGGGTCAATGTAATAAAACTTTCACAAGTGTAATTTACAAGTGTAGCTATTGTTTTTGGACCCTAAAACAATGGCTACACTTGTAGTTAAATTGAACCCAGGTACTTTTTTTTTCGGTAAAAGGAGAAAAAAGAACAGCTGACACATTTACTTCATGAGTTGTCTGCTGCTCTCTAATTAAGGCATCTGTCATCATTTGTCTTGTTGTGTCAGATTTTACAGCAAATTCAAGCGATTTGCACCAAAGGCAGCTTATGTATTTACTTGCTCTCCAGGCAAATGGTGAATGCCAAGTTGATACAGTAGTCGTTAACAAAAACATCACAGCTTTTAAAGACCGATTTAGCACTACTGTTAGTGCAAATCTTGCGTTATCCTTAGCCTGCGTGGCAGGCGCAAAAAGGGGAGGGGGAGGGGGGAGGGAGAAAGGGAAAAGGGAAGGGAGTGCCTGCTCTAAGAGCCTATGTTTTTGCATAACGCCTACCAATTTTCTAGTAATCTGATTACGCTTACTGTCAATCAAGTGTCGCTACACTCGCCATTGCAGAAAACATTACACTCACGGACTAAAGAAATTCGCTTAGTTATTCAGATCCAGAAGGCACTTTGGAGAAAATTGGAACCCTTATTCAGCCGTAATAAAAAAAGCTTTACACTTCAAAAGAGGTCAAAGAAATTGCGCTTGCATCAGAGGGCAAATCCTGCCGACCAGAAAACAATAACTACAGTCGATCAATATGTATGTCATGACCTCTCAGTGTGAAACATGCGGCTAAAATAACATTTGCTCAGTATAAATGCAGAACCTTCCAGAGCATAATCTACCCAGCAGATAAAAACAACTTTATTGGAATAAGCAGCATTTTGGCATGGGGTAAAACCACCCTCTTTTATTGCTAAGTTACATCGGCGAATGTCATCGTTCGATAAATTGGCTAAATCTTTCGCTGGGTAGCCCAACAATTCCATCTCCTACAACTGGTCTTCGATAATACTTTTCAGTGGCGAAATGACGAGAATCGCCGCATTACCATTTAGCTCGTAGTTCTATGCGCGTACAAACATTTGGTAAATTAAACTCTTGCCGTATCCGGTCCGCAAAACCGCCAGAACATCTCTGTCGGCTAAAAGAGCCCTTACTGCTGATTCTTGCTCTGGTTTTAAAAAAGTTTCTCTACCACTAGATAAATTCACATCTCTCAAAGCACTCTCTACGACATCCACGTCTACCGCTGCCATCTCGACTGTTTGTTCATTTGTGAAACGCGCATTTCAATATGTCACTCATTACGGCTCAGCCAATCAGGAATTTGCGGACGCCAGCGTCCGCAAATATGAACAAAAGGGGGTTCTTAGAGCAGGCGTCCCCTCCCCCTCTCCCCAATCCCCCTCCCCTTTTTCCCTTCCTCCCTATCCCCTACCCCCTACCCCTTTCAACGCCTGCTACGCAGGCTACGTTATCCTTGCCATGTGGTACCCATATTCAAACAGCTCTTCCTCATCAGTTGTCAAGGTTTTTCTCTTGCATTGTTGACTTGATTTACTACATAAGTACTTTTTTAAGACCAAGCTTAACCTAAGCTTACTGCTAATTGAATTCCTTAACCATCTCATGGCTTTTGACATGAAGAGATCAGAGCTGTTACTAAGATTTCAAGTTGCCTGGTGTCAATCAATCAATCAGTCAACACATTTATTTTACAATGCTAACCACACACTAAAAAATGTAATTTGTTACAATTTAGAGACTTGGAAACGAATTAGTCAGAAATTAATATTCTGATAGCACGGTATAGAGGCATGCTGGTGTTCCTGGGATAGTATCAGGCTATTTATGGTTTTAGCAGGCGACTGGTGCCATTCTACATCAGCTCAGTCCCTCTGATAGTTTTTGTTTTGTTTTGCAAGTTTTCTTTTTCTATATTTTCTTTTGTTACATCTTCAGATCTGTATGTTTTGGAATAACGTTTCTTATTTTGGTATATAGTTTATGAATTTAGGTATTTAGACGTGCACTCTTTTCCATTAGTATAATTTTGGAGTAGTCTATGTATCATTGTAATGTATTTTCCTTGATCCCTTTCCCTGGGGTTTTACATGCCACTGCATTTGTAGGGGAAGACATTCCCACACATTTTTTGGCCACTTCAAGGGTGGTTTTTTAGTTTTTCGTATTTGACGTGGCAACATATGTTAGTATTTTGTTAGAAGGATATCATTGCTTTAACATCTGCATCAGATGACTTACTGACGCATCCCAAATGAATATCTCGTGCTAGTGGAGTCGGAATAGCTGGTTTCAAGGTGGGGCATAGGCAAACACGCATTACAAACAAATAGAAGCAGTATGGTATTTACAAAAGTCACAAAATTTCAGAGAATAAGTAATTATGCTAGTTTTAAAGTATAATTATGTTGATGGGAGTTTTGAAGAGAAATGACTACAAGTTTATATATGTTACAGTGGGTGGGGAACTGAACAGCCAGGTAGTTCTTTTAGTCTCATCTTTCTTTTGTTTCCTAAGAAAATAGCCGGGGGTCATGCTCATAGTAGCCGGGGGAAATCCCCGACCCCCGGCCCTTAATGACAGTCCTGAGAGATAAAGGTCAAACCGTATCTAATTGCACCAGAAGTCCGATTTGTTGCTTGTAACCATCCAAAGTATCTTTTGTTTTTCAACCAGTCAGACAAAAGTCCAGATTCTGGATTACAGGCAGACGACGTACGTGTAAAGTGAATGTATCAGGCAGTCCCCTTCCACTTGTCTCCCAAACAAAAGGGAAGAAGGACTGCCTGATCACAGGTTAGCTCTTTGTACNGCCTGGTGTCAATCAATCAATCAGTCAACACATTTATTTTACAATGCTAACCACACACTAAAAAATGTAATTTGTTACAATTTAGAGACTTGGAAACGAATTAGTCAGAAATTAATATTCTGATAGCACGGTATAGAGGCATGCTGGTGTTCCTGGGATAGTATCAGGCTATTTATGGTTTTAGCAGGCGACTGGTGCCATTCTACATCAGCTCAGTCCCTCTGATAGTTTTTGTTTTGTTTTGCAAGTTTTCTTTTTCTATATTTTCTTTTGTTACATCTTCAGATCTGTATGTTTTGGAATAACGTTTCTTATTTTGGTATATAGTTTATGAATTTAGGTATTTAGACGTGCACTCTTTTCCATTAGTATAATTTTGGAGTAGTCTATGTATCATTGTAATGTATTTTCCTTGATCCCTTTCCCTGGGGTTTTACATGCCACTGCATTTGTAGGGGAAGACATTCCCACACATTTTTTGGCCACTTCAAGGGTGGTTTTTTAGTTTTTCGTATTTGACGTGGCAACATATGTTAGTATTTTGTTAGAAGGATATCATTGCTTTAACATCTGCATCAGATGACTTACTGACGCATCCCAAATGAATATCTCGTGCTAGTGGAGTCGGAATAGCTGGTTTCAAGGTGGGGCATAGGCAAACACGCATTACAAACAAATAGAAGCAGTATGGTATTTACAAAAGTCACAAAATTTCAGAGAATAAGTAATTATGCTAGTTTTAAAGTATAATTATGTTGATGGGAGTTTTGAAGAGAAATGACTACAAGTTTATATATGTTACAGTGGGTGGGGAACTGAACAGCCAGGTAGTTCTTTTAGTCTCATCTTTCTTTTGTTTCCTAAGAAAATAGCCGGGGGTCATGCTCATAGTAGCCGGGGGAAATCCCCGACCCCCGGCCCTTAATGACAGTCCTGAGAGATAAAGGTCAAACCGTATCTAATTGCACCAGAAGTCCGATTTGTTGCTTGTAACCATCCAAAGTATCTTTTGTTTTTCAACCAGTCAGACAAAAGTCCAGATTCTGGATTACAGGCAGACGACGTACGTGTAAAGTGAATGTATCAGGCAGTCCCCTTCCACTTGTCTCCCAAACAAAAGGGAAGAAGGACTGCCTGATCACAGGTTAGCTCTTTGTACAGTGGAAGAACACAATCTGACAGAAATGAGAAGATATACATGTATTCTTGTTTCCAAGAAAAAGCCCCTTAAATTGTTATAATGCTGGCTTTTTTCCCAGAAATATGGACTGAACGAAATCTTTTCATGTTAAATTCTTTGAGATTGTATTCTCCCATTCCAACAGGCATTAGTTTTTCTCCCAACCCTTTACTTTTTTGACATGAAAATATTGTAAAAAAAAGAAAGCATAACAATGTTAATACAGTGAAACCTCTATTAAGTGGACACCTTCAGGACCGTCCCAAGTGTCTGCTTAATAGAGGGTGTCCCCTTAAAAGAGGTTTGTAAAAATTGTGTAATGTTTGTTAACAATTAACGTTCACTGGTTACTCTGTACTGCCATAAAATACCATGTTGTTAAGGAAGCTAAGAAAGCTGTGCTGTACTTTGGGTAAGACTTATAGGTGAACTTTGATCGCGGAAGACAATAATGCAGCAGGATATTGGTCTAATGTACAGTTTATTGACAGCTAAATGTATTGATTTATCTTTGTTAATCGACTACAGTACATATCTAAGGTCAGATCAGGCTGGTGTCTGCTTAATAGAGGTTTTTAACTTAAGAAATTAGCCAAATACAAGTTATTTTAATAGTGTCTGTGTCCACTTAGTAGAGGTGTCCGCTGAACAGGGGTTTGTTATAAAGGGAAATATAAGACTTTACTCTTGGGACCCTGCTTTGTGTCTGCTCTTAATAGAGGTTTCGCTGTAGTTCACATTTGTGTACTTTTTTTCTAGCCATGTTGTTTTACTTGAAACTACAGAAGTATGTTACTGAGTTAGGGAAGGTAGGATTGCCTCCTTCAAAAGTCCTGGCAAACTTACATTCTAGGTTTATTCATTTAAGGTAAAGGGCAAAAAATACCTTGTTGCAATGGTGGATCCTGATGCACCTTATGCAGACAACCCAGGCTGTCAGAGCTGGCTTCATTGGATTGTTGTCAACATTGATGTAAGACATATAACTGCAAATTTTCCTTTCTTTGTGAATAATTTTTGTACTAGTCAAGGCTGAAGATATTCTGTAAGAACCATCTCTTTGTATTTATTATTTTTTACTAATTGCTTTTGAGTAATATTCATTCAACGTATATTAGTGACCTACGGGTACAGGTAGGCAAAAATGTTTGCTTTATTGTTTTGAATAATAAACCCTTTACCATCAACCAGTTATGAGTAAATCAACTATGATTTCCCAGATGTGATAATGGCATGACCATTCTCCCTGATAGCTTGAATGCGATTTCCCCTCAGGGAGACTATTTAAACCATATTTACAACTATGGGTACCCGTACCCTCAAATGTAAACAGTCTCTATATTATTTATTGATCTCCAAATTACAGCTGCCCTATCTTATAATAATAGTAATAATAGTTTTTTAACATTTCTGGGCAGGCCATCTGATAGGGTGCGATAAAAAATGAGAAATTGTGCGATCTTTTCAGGGTAGATTGTGCGATAAGAAAGGACTATCACGCGATAAATTACGCAATTTTTTCAGGGCTGATTAACATTGTTTTACCAGGTTTCAAAGGAAAAAATCACTTTAATGTTGTTTAACAGGCAATTTGAATATAAAGAATAATAAAACATCTATTTCAAAACAAAATGAATTAATAGTATTAATAGTGTCGTAGTATCTTTGTACTGCTAGCTGCGAGTCGCCAAGGTTTCAAATACTGCACATGGTTTATTTCGTCCAAAATGTACAGAAATACCGAAGTTATAAAGAATTCGAAATCTACGTAGAGATATCAACAGGAACTACAATCAGTCAAGAAATGTTAAAGTAAACCGTAAATAAGAATAATATTCACGTACCCGTTGGTGTCTCTCAAGTTTCGCAACTAGTAGTAATGATCTTACTAATCAACGATTGTTACGTCATGTCATTAGTCGTGATTATATCACGCATGAATTTCGTGTTATACCGAAACACTCCCCCGCCACTCGAAAAGGAAAGTTACATTAAAAATACAAAATTTATTTCAAGTCCAGTTTCAGAAAAATTAGTAGTAGTTCAATTTTTTGTGTCTTTATCTTCTTCCTTTGGTATCAAAACAACCAATTTGTTTACTGCTCGTTCAACGGTAACGAAACCTCTGCCATGGTACTCGTTGACAGCTTCTCCTGGTTTTGGATTTTTGTACTGCACTTGAACTTTCCTTACTCTACCATCTCCTCCAGGAAAGGCTTTAAGCACAGTCCCAAGCTTC